CGGCTGGGGGGGGGGGAGCCAGCAGCGTCCGTTGCCCGGGTAAGTTGCTTTTATTTTTCTTTAAGTTGTCTGTGTCCAGGCGCGGAGGATCGGCAAGTGTTCCGACCGACTCATGGTCACTCAATTTGGTCTTGCGGCCAAGGGGAGGCCTTAAAAGTCCTGTACAGTGCTCACAGCCTTCTTTGAGGGTCCAATTGGCATCTTTGTAAAGCTGGTGTTATCCTTCCCTTTATTTCAGTGGGTAGCCTGGTCTTTGTGCCTTTTGTGGGTGTTTCAGAGCCAGTTTAATTTGTTTGGGCCGGGAGCCATGTCAGTCTGCTGCCATGTGGCTCGGCTGCCCGGTCCCGCCCCCCCAATGCTGCAGGCTTTGTACTTGGTCTGCCATGTGGTTGTGGGCTGCGGCCTGTTCCTCCACACGCTGCTCTGTCCGTTCTGTTCAATCCCCCAGCTCCTGAACATCCTTGCGGAGTTCCCTCAGGAAGCCTTGGATATTAGCCAGAATTTTATTCGACATCGCCTCAAGGCAGGACTGCAGAATATCTTGCGTGACCAGTAAGTGCAGCGATCTGGGGGAAGCCTGTAATGGCAGTGTATCGTCCACGCCGCCACCATCTTGCTCAATTTCAGCCAGGCCCGAGGATTTCGAGGTTGAGGTTTTTGCGGAAAAGAAGCTGGAGCGCTTGGATTTTTCAGTGTGCTTCTCGTGCTTCTGGTTAGCCATGTCTGGAAACGGGTTTGGGGCTGAATGAGTGCTGGAATAAGCTGTTTACTTACTGTTTGAGGCCAGTGCATTCTGGAGCTCAGGCAAGTGCTTCCATAAGCGTTGCTCGCTAAGCCACACCCTCCATTTAGCTGTTTTAATATACATTTCCTTTGTTTTAGTCTTGATGCAATGGAAATATTGGGACACTTCCCACAGACATCAATACTTCTTCATTGACATTTTGCCAAAGGATCTGTTTTTACAGAAGGGGTAATATATAGTTTTCGATTCATTTTTAGAAGACCAAATACTTATATATTTGAACAAACACACTCCATTGCCCAAAACAATGAAAACAAACAACGACAAATAAAAACAACAAGAACACTATTTTGAAGCTATACCCAAATGAAAACATTGATTTGTGCATTTTTTCATTGGGGTATATCCAAAAGCTGCAGATTTCTTGTCTGCAGCCTCTTAAAAACTTCTCCATTTTCCCTCTGGAAATACTCCAATCAAAGACTCCTGTTCTGGAGCTGCAATCATGGCTTTCTTACTATGTTTCTCAATGTGCTGTAATGTAAGGGGGATAGGTGCATGCTAGCACAGTGCTCTTGCCACTTCCATTAGCTCTGTGGAGCTAATGTAAGCAAAAAAAAAACCTCCCTGGTTGTCAATAAGAGTTGTTTCTGCTCCCAATTATTGGGTGTTTCAAATTTTGATTTACTTTGATATGATCAGATCTTCAATTGCTGTCTATTGTTTGTTGTTAATTAGTCATAAACCAAAGTCTGCCAGAAAAGCACACCTAGATAAATTTTATTGCAGGGGCAGGTACATACATTACTCACAGTATTCCAAGAGTCAGGAACTCAAGCCATTTGGCAAAAAGGTAGTTCACGTAACCCAAATAAAACGCTAAGTGTACAATAAAACATCCCAGAACAACTTGTTCACATACTTCAGAAATAAGTCACAGCTGTTTAGTGTGGGAATAATGAGAGTACAAAATGATATTGGCACACTCCAAACCGTGATAGTTTGTAAACAAATGCACAGTGACTAATTACAAATGTCACTTTTTTTAGCGCTTGTAACACTGCTACAATTAGTGGTGCACTCAATTATACTATACCTTAGCAAAAGTATACTCCTCCCAATGTCCTGGAATCCAAAACAAATTAACAGACTTGGCACACCTTGGAAATTAATAGCAACAGCCTTTTTCAAACATTTATTCAAGATAGCAACTAGATTTGGGCAAGGCGCAATTGCTCGGTTTGCCTGAACTTTACCGAAATTTTGATTTTGTCTGGTACTTCTGATACTCGTCCATGCGATGGTTCAAGTTGGAGGGGTAAAAAAAAAAAGGTGCCTATCAGTGTACACAAATGCAAGAATGCAAGAACATTTCCTAGCCTACTGGCCACGCAATATCAGGCATTTATGCTATGCCAATTCTGAGTTCTCAAAATTTGATTATTCATATACATTTGTGGACAAAATTGGGGAAACCTTTTGGAAATGTAATATTTTTGAGGTTTGATGGCTCAAAACATCCGTCTTTTATTAGAATAATGCTATTAATGTTAAATTATATATCATTAGACATATACTTTAATGCTGTATAATGTAATGCAACCCAGTTTATTTAAAAAAAAATGCTTTGAAAAAGAAGCTATACAGAGAAATACAAGATAAAGAAAAGGAAACCAAGGTAAAACAAACTTCTTATCCTTTTTGTTAGTACTGAGTTGGTAAACATTTTGCCACAATTAAAGCTTTACAACATCATCCCCTGCCTGTGTTCCGTGAGCGGCGGCTCCTGGCAGACGCGTGCCGCTTGCAGTAGATTCACAGGTTCTCTCACATCTTTGCATTTCCGCATACCGCTCGCAGTGGCTTCCAGCGCCTGCGTGCCGCTCGAGGATGTATCAATACCCCCCAGTAGCCTTTTGCTAGATGTTTCTTATCCACCCCAGCCCCTCCATGTGTCTCTCCCACCCAACCTGTCCATGTGTCTCTCCCAAACCCTCCATATTTCTTACCTACTTGTGATAGACATACACACTCACTGACAGACACACACTCACTGACAGACACACACTCACTGACATTCACACACACACATCCACACTGTCAGACACACACAAATCAGCCTCCCTCGCCACTGCCAAATGCCGCCTGCATCCTGTCCGGTATATATCAGCAGAGTAGGCATAGGCGTGCTCACGGGGTGTGCCGGGTGTCCCTAGGCACACCATAATCCCCGCGGCACACGCTATGTGCCTCCCTCCCTCCAAAGATCTCCCTCACCGACCCACAGGCAGGGAGGGAGGCAGGAGAGGACCCGGGGAGCTCTTGCCAGCAGCTCCGCCAGGTTCCTCGCGCGCGGTCGTGAACTCAGGGGGCTAGAGTTCACTCTCCACTGGACCACCAGGGAAGGCAGGAGCACGGTCTCCCCCTCCTACATAAGGTAAGAAGGGAGGGGGGATATTAACTAAATGGCCCCCACACATTACACACAAACATACAGCACACACACATACATCACCCTTACACACAAAGCACACACACACTAACAACACCCTTACACAAACAGCACCCTCACACATACACACACACAGCACACACTAACAACACCCTTACACACACAGCACCTCACACATACACACACACAGCACACACTAACAACACCCTTACACACACAGCACCCTCACACATACACACACACAGCACACGCTAACAGCACCCTTACCCACACAGCACACACACACTAACAGCACCCTCACACATACACACACACAGCACACACTAACAGCACCCTTACACACACAGCACCCTCACACATACACGCACACAGCACACACTAACAGCACCCTCACACATACACACACACAGTACACACTAACAGCACCCTTACACACACAGCACACTTACACACACACGCACCCTTACACATACACACACTAACAGCACCCATCAAACACACAGCACCCTACACACACACACTAACAGCACCCTCACACTAACAAGACCCTTACACACACAGCACCCTCACACATACACACACACACACAGCACACACTAACAGCACCCTGACACACAGCAGCACCCTCACACACACAGCACCCTTACACACACACAGCACACACTAACAGCACCCTTACACACAGCACCCACATACACACACTAACATCACCCTCACACACACAGCACCGTTACACACACAGCACCCTCACCCACACACACAAAGCACACACTAACAGCACCCTTACACACACAGCGCCTTCACACACACAGCGCCTTCACACACACAGCGCGCCAACACACACAGCGCCCGCACACACACGCATTGCCTTCACACACAGCGCCTGCACACACACAGCGCCTTCACACACAGCACCTACACACAGCAGTGTGTGTGTGTGTGTATGTGTATATATGTATATATATATATATATATATATATATACGTGGTGTGTGTGTTTCTGCTTTAGGGTGCACACCCTTATACAATAGGCTGCGCACGCCTATGAGGGTAGGCGTCTCCCATATAGGTCCCCCTAGTTTTAACCCTGCAGCTGTAAACATAGCAGTTTCAGAGAAACTGCTATGCTTACATTGAGGGTTAAGCCAGCCTCTCGTGGCAGTTAGAGGCCGCTTCCACGATTCTCAGTGTGAAAATCACACTGATATGACGCTAGATGTCTAAAGGAAAGCATTGATTAATGCTTTCCTATGAGCGGTTTGAATGCTCACGCGGCACTGGCCACGCATGCGCATTCGGCTCCACTCGAGAGATGACGTCGGCAAGGGGAGGAGAGGTCACCAGCGCCAATGGAGTCTGGCGCTGGATTTAGGTAAGTGGCTGAAGGGATTTTATCCCCTTCAACCCAGCGAGAGGGAGGCCCTGAGGGAGTTGGGAGGACCTAATAATCCTATAGTGCCAGGAAAACGAGTTTGGTTTCCTGGCACTATAGGGCTCCTTTAAGCTGTAGTGGTTCTGGTAACTATAGTGTCCCTTTACGAATTGCATTTTTGTTGTTGAAAATCGAGCTTTGTTAGTTAAAAATATCGGGCTCCTAACTTTTTCAGCTTGCTCAGATTCCAAACAAATTTGTCAAGCCCTGACCTAACCCTGACATTGCTGCCCCTATATCCTACTACAGCCCCTAACCCCCCAACTGATCCCCTATACACTACTACAGCCCCTAAAAGCCATTTTAACCCAATAGTAGCTCCTAGTTTCCCACTGCAGCCACTATGTGTCTTATGGCCCCCAACCCCACTACTACTCATATTACCGTCCAAATGCAGCCACTATACCCCTACTTCAGCCTCCCACTACAGCCCGTTTCCCCACACTACAGCTCTATACCCCCTTTTACACGCCCACCGCATACTACAGCTCCTCTCTTCCAATTGTAGCCCATATATACCTACACTACATCCCCTTTCTCCAATTGCAGCGATCTCCCAATTCAGCTCATATCCCCCTACTATATCTCCCAATTCAGCTACTATCCCCCTATAGATTTTCAAACCCCAATTGCAGCACATACTTTCCACTACAGCCCCTAGCCCCAAAATACAGCCCCTAACAACTCAATTACAGCCATATGATCACACTACCAGTGCCCCTCCTGAGATAAGGTTATGGATCTGCTCAGACACTGATAAGTTATATGGGCACAAAGATGGTACTAATAAGCTACTTGGGCACAAGGATGGCACTAATTAGTTATGTTGAGACAAAGATGGCACTGATTAGCAATTTTGGGACACAGGTGGCTTTGGGTAGCTGTATAGGGACAGACATGGCACTAGGCAGCTAGGCACAAATATGGCACTGATTAGTTTATTTGGGCAAAGCTGGCATTGTAGAAAGTTGGTGACATGCTATCCTGTATAGTTGGGGGTCCCAAAGAGTTGAAGTGGTCTCCATAGGAAATGGGTGTGGTTAAAAGGTGTTATGTTTGTGAAGGTGAGGGGTTTGTAATATAACCACGCCC